CACATGCAGATTGAAGTTCGTCGAGTTGGTATCCGTCACCGCCCGGCCCTCCGTATTCTTCAAAAAGCAGTTCCCAGAGAACCTCGAAACCAAGTCAACAATGTCAGCGTGGAACTGCACCCCAGCACAACTCTCAGACCCGCTCGTCCGGTTCGCGTTGAACGAGGAACACGCCCTGAGACAATCTCCCAGCGACCAAGAAACGCCAGCGATGATGTCGATGCCGTCCCCGTTGTTGTCCACGCCGCAGTCGAGGTCGTAACTTGACGACTGACCGCCTGCCGTTATGGAAGCGGTGGTCCCTGAAATACTGGGACAGTCGAGCGCTAGCAGTCCGGACGTGGGCATCGATATCCGGGTGCTGGTTGTGGGCGAGCCTGTCGCTGACGCTTTTGCTGAGCCTGACGCCGAGCCCGTTGCTGAGTTTGTCGCTATCTTGGTCTCTGTCAGGGTTGGAGTAAGAGTAGCTTGGGACTCTTCTGCAGCCTGGGCAACCCTGGATGCTTAACAATAGCTTACGCATTTCTCAACGCGACGAGGGCGTCTATCTTTCTCACCTTTGGGTGTTCTTGACCACGAGCGAACCGCCGACACCTCCGCCGACCGATCCCACAATGATGGCCACTGCAAAAACCAGCGCGAGGTAGAATGTCGACCGATGCAACCCACATATCCTCCGCCCATCGGAATCAGAACCCAATGAAACTTGTTGGCTATACTGTCTGGCATCGATGCCGTGGTGGGCGGGTGTAGGCCAGTACTGTCCTGGTACGACCTCCGGCCCGTGATCCAACTCGTGAGCCACGATCTTCTCCGCCGGTTCTCTGTACCCATTCATACCGCTCATGTTGTGGAACAGCGGAGCACCTTGAGTAGTGCAGTAATCGTCCGGTTTGTTCTCGGAGGTCATTAATTGAGGTGTTCGCGGTGTCAGCTGTGCCTCCCCCTTATGACGCGCATCTTGACGCCTTCCTGTTCAGTCTAGACTGCGACACTAAATCAACACGTTTTGCATTTAAAATGAGATGAGGCCCAGCTGGAGAATCTCTTGGCAGATCCATCAGATACTGCGGTTGGAAGCTCTTCCAACATGTTTTAGCCGCCGCGCAGCTCCTCAACCACTGCCAGCCTTGGACGTTTTCGTGTTGGTCCCAACCAGAGCCAAATTCTCCGACAGGTCAGGAGACGAGTGAGAGACTCGGCTGATCCGTCATTCATTCGGCCGTTGTGTTCTAGAGCACTTATATGGGAGAGCTTTGACATAATTCCCTTTTCTGCCATATTTTCCCGTCAGATACAGCATTCGCTTAATCTCAGGAGGCTAGTAATTAGCCAAGTTTTCAGGAATAGAAATAAGAGCACGTTATGACAATATACGAGGCCTAAACTGAGGTTAGACTAACAGAACTGACTTGGCTCCATCTTCCGAGCTCCAGATTCAAGCACCCATATCATTCAAGATGATACAGCCTCTATGTATGCGAGATAGGCGCTGGTTCTAACCTGGAAGGCTCTCATAGCAGGAGAACAAATCAACAGAAGGCCTTTGTTTTTGTGGTTGACGATTGGCTTAGTCTGACTTATGTACTTCTAGTCTCGTGTAAGAGACAAAAAGAAACATTATGAGACCCAGGATTCTCCTCTGTCAAATGGCGAATTCGTCTATCCCACGGGCATGTGATATGTGATTTTCCTTCTACAGAACTTCCCTTGCAACAGAATGGATCCGGATGAGTGAGAAGGGAGAGGTAAAAAAAAGAAAGAAAGAAAAACCCAGTTCGACCTTCGAGGGTTGGACTAAAAGATTCTTGGACTTTTACTTGTGGTATTATTAATCAGAATGCTGCACTAAGCAGCCTTCTTTGAAAGACATGCATGTAATTAGAATTTGAAGGGTTGCTGCCTATTCTGGCCACTGCCCGCGAAGCAAGTAGCAAAGAAAAAGAGATAGTCAATGATTGACTTCAACAAATGTAAGCTGTTCGTACTCATTTGCCCTCCCAGCTCCCGCCACGCAACGACTGGTCGCCCTACATCGTCACTCATATCTCACATCAAACAGCATCGTCCATAACGTTAAAGTGAGAAGGGGGTATATCATTTCCATTACTTTTCGTCTCCACCGTCAACCCGCAATCAACTTGTCATCCGTCTCCAAGACCTTCTCCTCAACGCTCTTCTCGCCATTCACCTCCCCGTTGCCATTCTCCTTCGCCAACTTGGCCTTGTCCTTCTTACTCAGTGAGACAGCCCCCTTGGCCATGGCCTCCTTCGGCAACGGCCTGATGATGGGCTGCACAACCCACCACGGCCTCGCACACCTCTGCACAGCCCCCTTGGAGCTCTCTCCGTCCTCGACAATCTCCTCCTCCCCCTCTTCACCCTCTGTCTCAAACATCTTCCCATCGCTCTTCTCATACTCGACCAGGCCGTCTGCAACCTTCCTCTCCACCTTGCTCAGAATCTCCTCGTAGGCCTCCATGTCGCCCGCCCGGGCGCGCGCGAGCATGTCCCTGACGTCGGTATGCTTCGACACAAAGTGCCTCAACATGTGGAACATATGCGGCTGCATCGCCGCGTAGTTTGGGTTGTTCGTGCGCTCCTTCTTGCCGCTCGCCTTCTTCCCGGGCGTGTCCTTCTTCCTCTTCTTCCGCGCAGGCTCGTCCTCCTCAGCAGCAGCCTGGTCCATCTCCTCCATCCACGCAGTGTCGTCGCCAGGCACGAACAGCGGACGCCGCGCAGGCGGCTCGACGCCGGCCGCGTACCTGTGCAGGATGTCCATGTACCGCCTCATCACGGCGTCCACCCTCCACCCGCCCTTGCCGTCCTTCCCGCGCCAGTACTCCCTCTTCTCGACCTCGCTCCCGGGCTCGGGCTCCCTGCCGAAGATGGCCGGGTCGCTCAGGTTCCCCTCCGCGCTCATGATTCCGTCCGCGCCCGTCGCCTCCAGCGCGCGCGCCAGGTCCGCATGCTGCAGGATGTTCCCGTTCGCGAAGAGCACCGTCTCAGCCGGCAGCTGCTCGCGCAGCCACCTGATGATGCCCCAGTCCGCCAGCCCCGTGAGGTGCCCCTTCTGCTCCCTCCGGCGGCCGTGCACCGTGACGATCGACGCCCCCGCCGCGAGCACGTTCTTGGCGTACGCGAGCGTCGCCTCCTTGGTGTCCAGGATCCTGATCTTGGCCGTCACGGGGATCGGCAGGTTCTTGTGCAGCGTGTTGATCAGCTTGAAGATGAGCTCCTGGTCCTCCTGCAGGAACGCGCCGTATTTGCCCTTGCGCGCGATGCCCTGCGGACACCCCAGGTTCAGGTCCACCGCATCGCAGTACGGCGCGGCCTTGAGCGCGGCGCCCAGCAGCGCGTCCGGGTCGTTGGCGCAGAACTGCACGAACAGCGGCCGGTCGATCTTCGGGTTGCCATCGAGCCACGGCTCCGGCGTCGGCTTCGCCTCGGTGCCGCCGTTGGTCGCGGGGCGCACGGCCTGGAAGTGGCCGTCGCGGTAGTGCTCCGTGTCGTTGAAGATCCTGGCGTGGAACATGGGCGTGTATGCGACCAGGTTGGTCTGCTCTTCGGGGGTAAGGAACGATCGACTCAGCATTCGCCATGCCTACATAAACGCCAAGCTGTCAGTCATGCGCCCGAGGCAACCGAGTTCATGGGAGACCAAGGGAAAACTCACGAACTCAGATTGGTCCACCATGGGAGCCAGGATGTACTTGGGGCTCCCTATGCTCTCGTAAAAGGCCCGACCGTGAAGCTTCGGCTTGACCTCCGCAGCGGCCTCGGGCCCCGCGGCGGTTGTGTCGGTCGCGGGTTTCGCCATTTTCGTCGAGAAGGAGCGGGTGAGCCGGATGATGTGAGGCGTCCGGAGCCTCCGTAGCCTCAGTATAATCTCCAGAGTGTCGGTATTCTCAGTCCAGTGGGCATGCGACCAAGTGCAGCATCATCCGTGGGCGACTTTGATGGGTGATGGCGAAGGCGATAGGCGGGACCTAAAAAAAAAGTTTTGAGCCTTGCGCTGGTGGGCACGAGGCTGAGGACTCTGAGCTTATCTGATTGGTGGGGCTGCGGGTCTCTGCCAATTCCCCCACGCACCCAAGGGGACCTCGACGCACGACGAATGACGTCGTCCCGCTGGTCCGCAAGGGGTAGCATGTACCGGGTACAACGAGGTGCCTGGGTCTCATCGCGCCGCTCGTCTGAATCTAGCACTGAGACGGTGTGTCGGACCAGTCAGGGCGCGTCAGGAGAACAAAGGACTTCGCCTGGTGGGTAGCATTTCAAGCCGTCGTCACATGTAACCCGGGATAAAGTTTTGCAGGGAGGCAGTCCGCTCTAAAGTATTCAATTCGCTGGAATGGTCGATACCAGCATCAAGACCTCGCTGAGACTAAAGCTGTTTTTTCGAGATGAAAAAGCCACACACACACTTTCTATCTGCCTCCTCTTGACTCCACGAAACTGGAAGGCCACAGAACGCGAATGGAACCGACAGATAAAGAAAACCCTTTGACCGCCGACAAAGCAAATACAAACACAGAAAAACTCGACCGAGTGTCGAGTGCGATGGGATCTCCGTAGAGTCCGCATCTCGTCCTCCAGAAGGCTTGGGCCCATCTGATAAAAAGTGTAAGAACAATGGAGGCTACCACCATTATCGCCATCGTGTCCCATGGTCCGTGTGATCGCTGCCCAAATGCAAACAGGCTTTTCGGCCTGTGTATGCACTGACTGGCCTGTGTATGCTGTTCTGGCTGGCCGCCAACTCCGAGTGTCGCCCAGCCCATCCGCAGAAAATTAATCGATGGAGGGCGGCCCTTCAGCCATTCCAGCCAGGCAATGGAAAATGCTGTCGAGTGACGACTGAGAACGCCTTGACACCGTACGATGCTGTTCCTGAACGCCGTCGAATGGTAAATGTAGTTCAAATACATGATGGGTTGAGTGTACCCATCATCAAGAATCAAAATTTGGAAGATTCCGTCTTGCAGGCGTAGCCGTCGTTAGAAGAAGTGCGTGTAAATCTTGGAGTTTTCGTGAACTTCCATTTCCTGTGTGCTGTTAGCGTTTGCGAGTCTGGAAATTTCCTGCAATACCAACGTACCATCTTGAATGTGTTGAGCTCCTCCTTGATCTGCTGAGCCAACATGGGTGTCAGGCGGTTGCATGTAGCAATCTCGCCCCTGCGATCATACTCTCCACTTGGCCATGTGTCGTGAAAGACGATTCTCGGTGAAAATGTCGCGTTCCTCTTGGTACCTCCGGAAGGCGTTCCAGGAGCACTCTTGCTGTCTTGGCGGAGTCTAAGAGCGGTCATGAAATAATCCTCGCTGCCAATGGCGACCGACCCCGAACGCTTGTGGCCCTGTGCCTCATCATTCGGCGTGCTAGGCGCGGTGGAAATAGGCGAGTCGGAGACATTGGGGATGGCGGGGAGTTCGAAGGGTTTGGCGCCATCGCGTGCTGGGCTGTTTGATCGGCCGTTGTGCTTGAGGATGCCTTTCCTGACAGCAGCCAAAACCTCGGCACGCTCCCTGTCGCCACCCACGATGCTCTTTCGACCGGCGCTGTCGGTGCCAGAACTTCCAGCACGCTCGGAAACCATGCTAGGAGTGTTGGAGACGTCCAGCGAGTTTCGCTCCAGGTGAGGGAACCCTGTACCACCGCCATTTTGTGCGCGGGGGTCAGGGTTGATGTTGACCCTTTCGGCCTCAACAGTGATCATTGAGACAGCGGCCTGGCTAGCTTCCGGAGCCATGGCATCGGCGGCGGGAACGCCAATGACGGACTTCGGTCGGAAGAGACCCACTAATGATCGCGTGCTCTTCTTCATGCCGCGACCCATCTTACGGATCATGATAGAAGCAGAAGACGCCGTTGACGAGATGGACAGATTGTCGGTCGATCCAGAAAATAGCCGTCCGCCGTAAATGTTGCTCCCGATTCCTCCCTCCTCCTGCTTCTTAGCGATGGCCGCCTGCTCAGCCTCGTACAACTCATCTGCGGTCGGGTCCTTGTGCAACTTCGATGCATCACCGGCGTTCACATTGCTGGGTTCCACCGGGGGTTCGGGACCAGCAGCTTTCTTAAAATCAGCGGCGCTGCCAAAAGAAAATGCGCGGCGAAGTCGCGATGTCTTGCTCTTCGATTTCGTGCCATTCTGTTTGATTGCTGCGAGCTGCTGCGCGGCGGGGCTGCTGGCGTTGGCGTTGGATGCAGCCTGCTGCGGAGCATTTCCCAGAGAGGAAGGTGGTTTTTGGGGACTGGACTCGGTCGACATGGTCACCGGCTTGGAGAGAGGAGACGGAGTGGGTTGTCGCTTGGCCGCATCTGACGATGAGTTTCGTGGCGGGATGTTCACGATCTTGAGCTGGTCATGTTTCGATGAAGCATCATCTGGGGTTGAAGAAGACGAGGAGAGAGAGGGGTTTGCCGTGGGGGTGGGTACGCTACGGTTGGCAGACTGGTGGAAATAACCTTGTTAGCGATGGAACACTTCAGGATGGTCGGGCCAATGCGTGATTGGGCAATCCATCAGAGGGATGAGGCGAGAAGACGCATCAACAAAAACAGGTAATGCGGTGTGCGTGCAGAGCGAGATGCTTACCGAGGACGGCCGCGAATGGCTGCTTCGACTCGACGCGACGCTTTCTGCGCTGCCATTGCGAACATGCATGTTGGTGTCGGTGGGAGGAGCGAGACTGGAAACCATGCGAAGCGATTTTTCGTTGTTTTTGGGAGTTGGAACGCGGTCGGGACGGGAGGATTCTTCCGACTGAGCGAATTCCTGTGGGGTTAGCGGCTTGGGATAATCGGCAGAGTCTAGCGAATGCATGCTGCGCCGCCTCAGTCGCATGGTGTCCTCCGCCGGTCGATTCAATTGCATGTCATCAACCGCGCCATAATAACTGCTTGGTCTGCTCTGGAAAGACGCATTCCGGCTTCGCACTGACGCGCTCTTCTGGTCATTGGAGCCAGGTGCATTGTACAAATGACTAACGGTGGCCATGCCTGACCCTGAAGGGGCGCTAGTCTGGCGAGGCTGCTGTTGCTGGAGAGCCGGGCGCCTGTACCTATCAGGTGTCGTCTTAGCACCGGCGGCCTGAGCGAACGTCATTTGCGGTGTCGTGCTGCCGGCAAGATACGCAGATTGAGGTCTCTGTGCCTGGGGATTTGTGCGAGCGGCGGGGATGGCTGAATCGTCTCTGGATCCGCCCTGGCTCGTACCCATGTTATGGCTGTATGAAACGGAAGAGCTTCCAGTGTGACGAGACCGGTTGCCATCATGTCCTTGAACCATACCCTGTGTCGGAACAGCGGGAGAAGATGCCGTGCGATAACCGTTGCCATACTGCTGCCACTGGCCAGTCGTGTTCAGGCTGGGAGTGCTGGTGAAGGCATAGGGCTGGATGGGAGCATTACTGCCACGGTAAACGCCTGACGCCCCCGAGAAGTTTCGCTGCGCCTGCTGGGCGGCCATGTACTGCTGATTTGCCTGAGCTTGTGCGGGCATCATGTTTCCGGATGATCGGGTCTGGAGAGTGACAGTGCTGGTCTGCTGGGGATACGTTTGAACCAACGCAGCCATATTCCAATCAAACGACAACTGCAAAGGTGCCGAACGAGTGCTCTTACGTCAACCTCGTTTTGCTCCTAGGTCAGGTCCAAGCAGACTTGGACGTAACGGCGACAGATGTTTATAGACGGGTGAACTAGCAAATTGCAGCTCAAATGCTAAATACTGAAAATCAGTTGTTAGCCAAGATGTATCGCTTCCAGCAGCATATCCAGATGAAGCCATTCGTATGGCGAGGCTGCGAACACACACAAGCCTCGTTCGCCGTGAAAAGGTCTAGGATGATTTGCGAGATAGGCGATGGACGAACCTTTTAGTCTCTCGAATGCAAGGGAAAGAAATATTTCTGCTGTATCCCGGGTGACCAATAACCGTGTGGGAGAAGTGAAGTTGGCGTGAGTGGTCAGAACTCGGGTGTGGAATGGAAGGTCGCCTGCGGCCAGGGGCAGTAACGGTGTCGTCGTGCCGAAGAGAGTAGACGCTTCACTGCTACCGCGAAGTCGTCGTCTTCGCCGTCGTCGACGAAGTAGTAGCCAAAATGGAAGAGGTGATCGACCGAGGGCAGAGAGAAGAGGGGATCAAGTGTCACGGAGACAACTCGAGTCGTAGCTAGCAATCGACCAAGAACATGGGAATGTCAGGGACTCGTATCCGGTTCGAAATCGTAACGCAGCAGTCGTCGGGAACGGAGAGGGATGGGTGATGACGAGTCAGGGCACGGGATCGTCTAATCGTTGTCGTCGTCGGCTATGGGAAGGAAGCTTTTCGAGAAGCTCCGTCGGGTTCACACAAAGAGGAAGCAATCGTGAGAGGAGTCGGTTGTGTTTTCGGTTTGTGGTTTTTTTTTGTTGTTGGGTTGGGAAAGACGGACGGGCGACACGCGGAAAGGAAAGGAGGCACAGTAAGAACGACGGTAAGAGCGAAGGACGAGTTGAGGTGTGATCGAGGGGACAACGTTGGACCGGGGAATTGAATATGGGGACAACCTAGGAAGCAGGACCCTGAGAGTCAGACAACCTCAGCGTTGGGGGGCGGATTTCGTGACTTTTTTTTTTTTTGGACGAAAAAAAAGGGGTCGTTGATGGGACGAATTGGGAATGATTTTTTTTCTTTGGGGGGGGAAGGGCTGAGGAGGCTGTGGTAGAGAAGGGGGACTAAGGGAAGGGGGGAGGGAAAAAGGGAAGGAAGACGAGATGGGAATTTTTTGAGGGGATACAGAGAGAGGAAGTTGGGTGTGAAGATGGTGAGGTGCGAGGTGAGTGAACGAGAGTCCTGGAAGGAGGAGGAGCACGCTGGACTGGAGACTGGAGACAGACACAGACGGTGGATAGGCAGGAAGGGTCTGGTCGAGATTGGAGACTGCCAGATGGGAAGGTTTTTGGCACTATCGTACCGATGCTGCATTGGCTTGCTGGAGCCAGACGGCGATGGAGTTCCACTTGGACCAAAGCATCCTGGGAGGGAACCCCGGCCGAGTGTCCACAGGCAGACTTACTGCACCACTGCCCACACCATGCACCCGTTCGACGTTCCTATTCGTACCCGCTACCTCGACTGGGGCCTGGAGCAGCGAGGAGCGAAATGTCCCGTCTACCCCGGCACCCTGTGATGTCCACGGCAGCCTGGGTGCCCTGTCCAGCGCCGCTGCCTCTGACTGGTCCAATTCGGCAGGTAGGGGACTTTCCCCCCCATTTGCTGCCATGGCCTTCGATGTGCAATTCATGCCATGCCAGGCCATGCCATGCCCCTTTCACTCAGCACTCTGTCCGCTGTTCATCAGAAGATATTACGGATATCTGCTCAGTTACTCAGTGTGCTGCTGTGGTTCCAGGGGCACCTTCCGTCAGCTTCATCAGCCCGCCTTCAGGACGCCCCTGCCTGCCTAGGTGCCTAGGTTTTCAGAATACACAACGCCGGGCCTCACACTGCACCGGGCTCGCTCAACCACCTCTCTCCTCTCTCGTCTGCTGCTCGTCTCGTCCTCCCAGCAAGACCAAGACAAGACCTGTGTGAGACTTTCCACCACACAGGGCGAACCTTCAGGAAGCCCCCAATACGGAATGGTGCGAACGCGTCCCTTCGTCTCGGGGAGTTGTCTCTCGGCTTGGAGAATTTTGGCATTTTGCCATTGGGCAAACGGCCGAGAGGCGGCGAATCACGACCACGCTACCCCTTGCTCCTGGGCGACAGACATGCCCGCGTTCGACGCTCTCTCCTGAATGAGGTAAGCCGACGGTACTCTGTTAAAGGGAAACAAAACACACATCACAACATTGAACACGCCAAGGAACCGCCAACCTGCCCATGGGATTGGTCCGGCACCGTTTGGTGACGGCCAGATGGAGGCAAATGGCTGGATGGGATAGTGCAGCAGGCTGATCAGCACCACCAGTGCAGGCACAGGCAGGCGCTCATACTCACTTACGCAGGGCCTTGAAGCAACTGCAAAAGGCACATCATCAACATGTCCCGCAGACGCGCAGCAGCCCCTTTGAAGCACGGCCGACGCAGCTCATCAGCGCCAATCCCAACTTCAGGACTGACAGCTTCCTACCTGTCTACCAAGCCTACCTACCAACAAGCATCACGCGGCATCACACGCACACGCAGGGCGCAGAGCACAGGCCCAGGCACAGTAAGACGAGAGATGAAAAGCTGCATCCAGGAGACGCAACGCCTCCTCCGACACAACAAATACACGTAATGGCAATCCATCGCCATCTGCCTTTGCGTTGAAACGAGGCACGAGGAGCGGCAACAAACGGCCCTCGTCTAGACCCAAGACGAAAATCTTCACACTAAGACCCCGAATCGCCTCCCTCCAGCCTCACATCGGGACCCCTTACGCAAGGTACACAGACAGTACAGCGAAGACCTGCGCTGGGACAGAGCCAGCTATTCGGGATTGAGGCACACCATACACCACACCACACACCGCCGTCGCCCCAAAGCCTAGGGGACCAACTAGGTGATGCGCACCAACAAGTAGCGTACAGTCGCGGAGCACGAATACAACACAGTAGCTCGACCCTGCAGATTCCTCAACTCGGCCGGTCTCCCGTATCAGCAGCAGATCGCGCAGCTAAGCTCACCAAAACCAGGCTCGTCAACGCATCTCTCGGTGGAGGGCAAGACAGCCAGACCGCCACGGCGGTACAAACACATGCCTTACGAATCCTGCCCAGCCAATTACACCCGCCTCGCCTCAGTCAGTCTCTCTTGGCCAGTCCGGCCTGTATGAATATCTCTGCCTCTGGCCTCTGCCCCCCTCTTTTGCTGCAGTGCAGTGGTCATTCACCTGTTACGTGTGATGGGCCGGGGGATACGAAGAAAAAGGGAACGCTTTCCCCGTATTTGAGTTCGTGCTTACCCCACCGCAGTGGCTTCGCCTGGCTAAGATGGTGAGGTAATGCTACGTGCATATCGGAAGGGATGGCCTCCCCTGTTCCGGGAAGGAAATTTCACAGGTCATCTCTCAAGTTTCGACACCCATCTCCCACTCCAGAGTCCACGGGGGCCCGACTGCGGAACGTGTGGATTGAGGCCCGTCTGGAGATGCTGCCGGACTTGGTTTGGCTGGTCAGGGCGTCCCAGGTGCTGGCCGACGGAGGGGGGAGCGAAGCCGTTCACGATGGGCTCCGCAGCTCGGCCGCATCAGCAAGCAGCAGCGCCGCAGCCATCACAAACAAATCACAGACGGAGAAGCCCTGTCGGACGACGCACTTTATATCCGGACGTCCAAAAAAGAGTGTCCTGTCTTACGAGTCCGTCCCAATCTACCTCCGGCGCAGTTAATGGCCTGTTGAAGTCACTTGCTTGGCTCAGAATGCTGCACCACGGCCATGCCTGATTCTCGAGGCCGGCCGTTGAGGTTTGACAGCCTCCCATGACGTTGACTGAGGCCCGGCCTCCGATCCGATCTCAGAGTTTGCAGCTGCATGCCGCATCATCCCATGGTTGCCACATTTTTCTTGCTTTCATCCATTCTTTCTTCCTCACGCTTGTTCTTCGCCCTTTCGAGCTTGAGCCTTAGCTCAGTTTTATACACTATATTTAGTCCGTGGCCAGAGACCAGTCGGGGGTCCACCAAGTCAAGTAGGGACCAACGACCAACGGGCTGCCAGTGGCCCACGAGAGAGAGGCGGGCGATGGAGAGACATTCGAGGTATGCTGTACGTGGGATGCACCGCGGCTTACATGCAAAAAGGAGGAGACCTCGCCCGGTCCACTAGGTACTTGTACCCGTATTGTATCTATGCCGCGAGTGGCGGCGACTACGAACCAGTGTACGGCCACGACCACGACTTCGCCCACACGAGATTCCCACAGGCTGAAAACGGGGTCAACAACGACAACGGGGCGGGAATGACGCTAGCAGGCTAGTGGGTACGCAGCAACATGCTTGACAACAGGCCCTGATCGCTTCTGGCGGCGATGCGGCGACGGCCTTGCGGTCCCCTACAACTTTCCGGCGCCCCCTGCCGATGAGATGTGATGCTTCCGCATGCTGACCACTGTGCAATTTGCCTTCAGGATGCAGTGAGGGGGATTATGGGGGCATGAGTAAACAATCCCATGTTATCTCCCCTGTGGAAGGCTGCATATCAAAGCAAGCTACGGACGCTTGATCCTGATGCCACTGCAGCAGCGCTAGCGGCACGCGTCTCTGGCGATGTGAAGTGAGTTGCGGTGAGTTGCTCTCTGCATTTCGATGCTGGCAAACCCCCATGAGGTACTCCAACACATTACTCCGCAACGCAGTCTAGAAGCTCATGCTTTGGAAATGAAGTTTTCCTGTCAGCGACCAGAAGAAAAGAAAACCCCCAGGCCAGGTCCCGCTAACATGGTTTTACAAGGAGCCGCCTGGTCGCGCGCAATCTGCTTCTTACATTGAAGGCTATGCTACCTACGCACAACTCATAAGCTAACGATACTTCAGCCTTGTGATGCTCGATCTGCTAGAAACTATTGAGCCACAGCTGGGCCGCTGGGCATAATACAGCACGCGACAG